GGGTGTTCTGAAATGATGAGAGAAGGTGGACCGAAGGACCTTCTTCACCCACACCTATCGTGTCACTGTTTATTACAACTTTAATTCCAATTTCTTGCTTCCTTCGTATGCCATTTAGGCAAGGATTATCCTTGATAAAATCTTCTGCTTCAGATATTTATCTGATTCCCTTTTAGATGTTTAGATAGATTTACACAGAACGTACGGAAACAGGTCATTCGGCCCAACCAGCCTGTGCCAGTATTTATACTCCACGTGAGTCTAACATGCTGCGATAGTTTCAGCCTGAACAGTTTCTCATGGAAAGCTTTCCACCTCCTGAAAGCCTTCTGTGTGAAAACATTTCTTCTCACCTCCCACTAGTTCATCCGATGACAATCCTCCAGTGGAGGAGATAGATGAAGCACGAGTATATATATATTTAAGAACGCAATGGAGAACTGAAGAGTTTAAATGCAGTAGCCATTTGTTTTCAAAAGGAGAAAGAGCTAGTCCAGGAATCTACAGACCAATTAGCTTAACATCCGTGGTAGTGAAGTTTATATAGAGTTATGCAGAGTGATAATACTGGAGTCCATTATAATGGATGAAATGACCAAGCAAATCAAAAAGAAGAATATAATTAAAAGCAGCTTGCGTGGATTCGCGAAGCGAAAGTTATGCTTGATCAAGCTTAGCAAATTCATTGAAGAGTTAACGGATAAACTGGACTAGGGAAATGTAGTGGATGTAGTTTATATGGGCTTCCAGAAGGCCTTTGATAAGCTGCCACATAAGAGGCTAATGGCTAAAATCAAGGCATTTTGAGTGAAGAGAGAGGCAACAGAAAGGATTCAGCGACGACTGGAAAATACAAAACAGAGAGTAGGAGTAAAGGGCAAATTCTCACTCTGGTAAAAAGTAGGAAGTCCTTGTTTCTCAGGGATCCAATAACAGATGACTTGTACAGGGAAATGTGAAGCGAGTCACTTTGGTAAGAAACGTTAATAAAGAAGATTCAGAATCACAGGGCTCTAAAAGTAGCAGCACAGGCGGATAGAGACGTACAGAATTTAGTCCTCGGCATTATGTCCAGAGTATTAGAGTATAAAGTAGCCGTGTTAAATTCATACGAAACCTTGGATAGCCCACATGTGGATTAATTGTGCACAGTTTTCGGTTGCCACATCACAAGGATACTCTAAAATTTGAGAGTACAGTGTATGTAGATTTGCAAAGATTTTACAAGAGAACAAGGGAATACACCTACCATGAAAGACTGGACAAATTGGAGCTTTTCTCCTCAGAGTTCTGTATTCAATGTCTGGAGGTATTAATTTCAGAAACCAGTTTACACAAGTTATCACCTTTCTAATTGCATTCACACATTTAAAGATGTGCATAACTGCACGCCTAGACCGCTTCATTCCTCAACAGTATTGGCATTCAATTCTGCTACACTTTTATTATAGCTACCCTTTGCCTTCTATTCCTTCTAAACTACAGATAGTAAAACTCTTACTGACTTACTAGCGATGGAAGACACAGTCGTTTCACACCGGGAGTCACACCCCATCCAGAAACTTCTCAAAATCGTCTCACAACTTTCAATTTTCTGTATTGCTGGATAAATCAAATCCTACTTCTCCTTCTCAATAGAGGAGGTTGAGAGGTGGATTCTGATCAAGGTGGGATTAAGTTGTGTAGGTTGAGATGTCTTCCCGACGTGAAAAGCACGACATAAATGTAAATTATATTGCATTTCATTGTTAAAGGAATTAACGGAGTTGGATCAGGAGAGACTCTTTCCCATGAATGCAGGAACCAGATGAAAAGGGCAACATGAAAAATAATACACCAGACCTGACAGGGATAAAATCAGAAGACGTTTCTTTGCTCATTGTGGGAAAGTTGTGGACAATTTAGAATTCATTTCCTCTGAGGTCGTTGAGTTAATGCGGATGTTTAAGAGGCACGCAGATAAATACTGAGCTAGTAAGGGCAACAGGGTTTGTGGACAAAAGGTAAGCAAATGAATTTGAGTTACACATTAGCCATGACCCCCAAAATAAGGGGAGCAGGCTTGATGGGCTGAATAACCTATTCTGTTCCTATATTCCTAACCATTCTTCATTTTATAATCATTTTATAATCATTTGACCAGCTTCAAAGCTTCATCGCTCAAATTCCTGTAGGAATTCTCTGCAAGATTCCATGTGAATTGGTATTTCATATTCTATCGTGCTTTTAGGGTATTATTAAATTGTGCTTTTTTAAAAAACAAATTTTTATAATTTTATCGGTGGAATTGAATTAGTGTAATTAATTCTTTCTTCAACCCCATTGTACCAAAATCCCATTGCAAAATTTTCTAATCGTATTTTTTCCCAGAACCTCACGACTGTGGAGCTCATGACCTAACTAACTGCAGGCTTTCAAAGCCCAAGCTTGCCATTGCCCATTTAGACTAAACTGCTTGAAAAAACAGGTTTGCAACCCAGTTCTTAAGGGCATAAGTTGCAGAACACAAACTGTTACCGTCCCTGTCTACGGTGAATATATGGGACGAGATAACCCAAGGGAAGGGGCTGAGCCTGTCAGCAAATCCAGAAGGAGATTAGATAGTTATTTGGCAAGTAAATTGATTGAGAATTATGCAAGATGGAGCAATTGAAGATTGATGGACTGGAATTTTAGCTGCGAGGTAAAGGCGTGGAGTGTAGAGTTTCTAGCTTGTGATCCCACTCACACCAAGTTTTGATTACAAGATTTCCATTCCATCACTTACAGGCGTGAGATACCTTTTGAGAAGTGTCAACGGCAATAACATCACATGGGATGGGAAAATGTGGAACACGACTTTTAACAACTCCCAACCTTGCATGCTCACAGGTTTAGAAAAAAAGGATAAAACAAACAAGAATGCCAAACCAGGTCTTTTGGGCATATTGCCTTGTGGTGCATTTGCTCCAATAAAATCTCTCCAATCCATCACCATCACTCCATTGCACCCCACAGTGCAACGATAAATGCTCTGAGAGACAACAAGCTAACGCAAAGCCATTTGGAATCCCGTTAAACACTACGTTTGGTTGCGTACATGCGGTGTAGGGACAGAATAAATGTTCCTGCAAATAACTCGCTCGCCAAGTCTTGTGCTTGTGAGTGACGTGTTTATTGTCAGCCCCTCATGAAGTTGTCGCTTAGCACTTCATTCAGGGGGAAGAAATAGAGCAATCGCTAAAGGTTGCAGCAGTGTGTGAGGTGAATTTCCATTTCCTTGCGATACTCTGGTTGCCATGTGAAAACAATGTGAAAACAAATAACCGCCTCCTGTCTTGAGTACCGTTTATAACACTTTACTGTCCATAGTATGTGGCAGCAATATGTTATTTGGTACGGGCATATGTTACCAAGAACTTTCTTTTTAGTTGGCGTCATCTTCCATAGTTTTCTAAGATAATGGCATGGATTGAAATGGAACAGGTTGAAAAAGTGAGACAGATAGAGAGGGTGGCCATCGAGAGGTTTCAGGGAGCTGGAGCATTTAGTCCAAAAGGATCCAACTATTCCTCTTTGCTGAATTGATTCTTTCTACCTGTGACTGCAGTTTCTAAGAGGTAACGCCAGCGCTGGGGTCAAATCCTGTCATCGCTCTATGCCTCTGAAACACCTGTGGGTTTTTTGTGCATCAAGTTTGTTATGTTAATGTGTGGATGAGATTGTTGCTTAGTGCTGAAAATGATTTTTTTTTCAATTTGTTTGAATTTATTGTGATGATTGAAGGGGTTATGATAGTTTCCAGACAGCACTGAGGTCGTGTGGTATTTGGAAGCGCATAATGGCTTATCTGTCTGGCTTTTCCTTACTGCTTCTTGAAACTGCCTGGTAGGAGAGTAAGTAAGCACGAGATCAGCTCAAGGCATTCGAGCCAAATAATATTATTACAATTGCGATAATACAAACGTTTCCTCTCACAGGATCCGAAACGTTTCACCCTTTCTCTGTAGGTGCAGCAAAGTGAATGAGCGACTGAAATGTTTAAGTTGGAGATACATTAGGTCCTATCTATCAGTGATGTAAGTGGGTTTGCCCACCGCTATTTGTGTTTGAGTTCACACCAGACCCATAGGAAAAACGGCTCTCTTTTGTTTTCTGATTCTAAGGGTCCAAAGCGAAATAGGGTTGCAACCCAACTCTTAGTGCAGAACACAAAGTGTTAGAGTTTGGGTCCAAGGTTTTAGTCTTCTTCAAAAAGGCCACAAGGATGCCTTTTTGGACGTAGAACTGTCACATTGGTGCAGAGGAACTTGTCCCAGCTTATGAGATCACACTCAATATCTTCTTTTATTGCTGCTGAAAGTGATTTATACTTCCCGATTCATACATCGCTCAGGGGCTGTGAAGATGCTGTCAGTAGTTCTGGACGTGGCACATCTAAACTTACCGTGTTGACCGATACTGAGCGTTATTAAAGAGCCAGTCTGCTCTTTCATAACATCTCATAAAGTGGCCCATTAATGCCCCACAGGAGATTTGAGAGCGGCTCAATTTCAGAGCGGAGACAAGAAACTGATGGGTTTGAATCAAATTTTGGTAAAATAAACCCTTTTTTNCCAAGAGTGGGCAGATGGAGGTGTTTTTTTTTTGCTTTTAAAAGTGCTATTGACTCCGTCGCTCTCGACCAACCCCCACCACCCCCCCCACCACCACCGACCACATGCGGAAACCATGCTTAAGGGTATCCGAACCCAGCTGAGATTTCCATGCCTCCCACTTACCGCACGGAAATCGACAGAAAGGGAAAGCTTTCTCTCCCCCCTCATCATGACGATGGCAAACAACTGTTCAACACAATCGTTTGAAGGAAAAGCACGATGTACGACATGCCCCTCGGGGTAGAATAACGACATGCAGCTTATTTGTGGGGGGGGGGGGGGCGGGCGGCACACATCCACGTAAACTAAACCTAAAGAAGAACTCACAGCTTTTCTCGAAGACAATAAACCAAAAAACAGAAAGAAAAACACAAGATGTACATATTTATTTAAAAATACACTGTACAGAGAAATATTTTCTTCTTGTTTTACAGCAGTGTGCTTTGTAAAAACTTTCTTAAAAAAACAACAAGACTGTCCCGTAAACGTGTTTGTCGTAGGGAAAAAACATCTGTTTAGGATTTTTTGAAAAAAAAACTTCAAAGGCCATCCAGTCCCAAGACTTGTTAATGGAAATGTTGTAAAATAGGTTTTTGTACTGTTTTAGAAAGCATTTGTGTCAAACATGTTCTCTCTCTCTCTCTCTCTCTCTCTTTGTCTCAATCTCTCGTTTCAGAGATAGGGTTTTCATTAATAAATTATATATATTTTTTTTCTCTAGAGATGAAGGTGATCTCTGGCTTTCTCAGTAGACCTAAAGGAAAAACAAACAAACAAAAAAAAGGTGACGGTCTCGAGCTGCCTATAGCCCAGAAGCATTACTCCAACGTCCTCGCGATTAGAATGTGTTTGAGTCCGTGTGAGTCCTGCCTCAGTATCAGAAACATTCTCGGTAAACAATATTTTTGCAGCAGAAGCTTCTAAAGTACAGACTCCTGTGTGTTTTTTATACACACACACACACACACAGCACTGCTGAGAGCCAAAGAAGAGACAGCGACAGAAGGGACCTTGACAAGCAGATGGGATTAAGAATTCTGTTCCACCGCCTCCTCTTGCGTTATTGTTCCCTCCCTTTCTGCGACAACCCCTCCTCCACACTGACAAGCTGGGTGAGATAGACAAGAGCACCGGTGCCAAGGCACACCGAGACAACGCACAGGAGAAAGCAAAGCGTCTTATGAGACTTAAAAATAAGGGAAAAGCAGTCGGTTTCGCTCTCACCAAAGACAGTGCAGACGTGTACAGGAGCGGGCGGAGTGGGGCGAATAAGATTCGTACGTAACGGTTTGAATAACAATCAATGAAAGAGAGGTAGAAAGAAAAAAAAAGGACTTCGGGAAAGGCGTAAAAAGGTAAAACGAAATAAAGACTTTTGAAGCCAATGATTCATTTTGCTTCCGCGAAATATTTCTTATCACAGTGAGCAAAAGCAAGGCTGCGAATAAAATGAGAGCGGTTTGAACTTGACTGGACCCGACCACACATCAACGCAGATACCACAAGATCCATTTGTACCAACAATAAACAGCGCCCTCCATGTATGACACTGGTTGGACCTGAACTGAGAGGAAGGTGAGGGGGTGGGGGAGAGAGGTGATCGCAGGCACCATTCAGTGATGGTACAACGACAACTTGCACTTATACAGCGCCCTCCACTCAGGATAGAGTCTCAGAGCACTTAACAGTGGCGGAGCCTGACTCCGAGCCGGGCGTAGAGGGTAGAGGTGGCCACGGGCACGGTTGAAGAGGAAAGTCTTCAGGTGGGACTTGAGCAACGGGGGCAAAGGGAGAGGGACTGAGGGAGAGTGTTCCAGAGCTTTTGGGGGCGTAGCAGCTGAAAGCTGATATCACGGAACGGCATGAGTTCTTCCATTCAGTTTGTGCTTCGTGTGACAAGCAGACAGACTTAAGGCAGGGATACCTTTCATCACGAGCGACTGACGGCCTGTTCTCTGGACAACCTGCTTTGGTATGCCTTCCGATACCCTTGCCGGAATTCGTGGCGGAAAGCAAAAGGGAGCAGATCCGCCCTCAGCCCAGGCTGTTCTGAAGCACGGCTCAGATTGCGCTGGAACGCTGCGGTGCTTTCACGGAAGACAGCAGCTCGTGAAGCGCAAACAGCTAATTATTTCGGAAACCCTCCTTCAAAGTACAACAGGAAAGTGAAGTTGAGTCTACGCGGATGAGAACGATCCTCATCCAGCAAGGGAGTGTTCTTACGGATAAGGTCTTCAAAAATCATTCTAAAGAGTTATAAATAATAAATAAGCGTATGTAGTTTGACAGCACACGTACGCTTACTTACTTACTTATCTACTTACTTACTTACTTACTTACTTACTTACTTACTTACTTACTTACTTACTTATCTATTTATTTATTTATTTATTACGCTTATTATTTATTATTTTCGGGGTGAATTCACTGCAAACGGAAAGTGATCAGACGTTATCACTTCTGGCGGGGGCTGCGACGAGTGAGGAACAATGCAGGCTGAAGGCACGGACACCCAATCGGCACACGCAGTCTCGAAAGAGAGATGACGGATTACATTTTTGCGACACGCACGTGATCAGGACCCCCCCCCCCCCCACCCCCAAGTGTCGCTCTCCGGCTTCTTTGGAACTCTCAAGCCTTATCGCGTGAACTCACACATCAATTAGCTGCAAAATCCAATAAAGAAGTTGCAAGTCGGCGAGCTGATAAGACGCATTCGCGGACGTGATGGACATCAGCGTGGTATTAAATTCCACACACCAATTCCAGATCGGCAGATACGGAGACACAACGAGAAATGATATAGTATCATATCAGTAACAGAATTCTGCAAATCCACTCTGAAGGATCCTCTGGCGAGGATCGCTGCGTTCCTCTGCGGAGATGCCTTGCCTTACCCGTTGTCGAGGCCGCCAATGCAACAATGCAAATCTACATTTTGCGCAGCGCCTTTTCGCATCAGTACGGACGCCCCAAGGCGCTCGACAATTAACGGCTCGGCACCTGAGTGGAACGTGGTCAGAGTACCGATCAATATGATCACAGTTAGAATAATCAGCTACGGCAAACAGCCTGCTGAATTTTAATTAAAAAAAAATTATATATTCCACACCAACAATATTATTTTGTTGTGCCAACTTCAGGCAATGCGGAAACTTACATCGGGAGAGCGGGACACTGGTGATACGTCCCGCTCGACGGCAAAACCCAAATCGCAATCGCTAGCGCCTTTGAGAACATCATAAAGCAAGACCCCCACCCCCACACCCCCCCAAGGTGGAGGCGATGAAAAAAAGCACTTGTAAAAGCTCTGCGCCAACTGTAAGATTTATTAATATTATTATGAAAGTGCAAACACTTTCAAAATAAGCAAAGTACTTAAAGCAGCTGTTTGACAGTGGGCAGTAAAAAGTCTCGGGAGATTCCAGCTCTGTCGATCTCTTGGGGGCTGATCTGAAGACCGGCAAGTCCGTGCGGGTTTAGAGGGTACTGTCTGGAAAAAAACACTGTGGACATCACAGGGACCTTTACCTCTCCTGTGTTTTATTTTATTATTATTATTATTATTATCATCATTAAGGGGATTGCCGCGGTCGGAGGGGCAGTGCAAAGGAGAGCAACAATTCAATTCTCATTGTGGAGGAATGACCTCCGAGCAATGAGCCGAGAATCTGGGCTCTTCGAATGGGAACGTTACAGAAGTGGAAACGACCTTAAGTGGCACTTGAGAAAGTAAACGTGGAGCCACGATTCGGGACCCACTTAAGACAGTAAGAGGTTTGGAGTCGCAAAGAGGAATTTGAGGACGGACTTCAAGACGTTTTTCTTTACCCAATCAATGATTGGAGCAGGGATCGGGAAGATAAGAGGACAGGATGTTGGTTGACCTCATTTAAAATAAACAGCTGGACGCTGTGATGGGGACACGGCAGGGGGTTTCGCTTTTCTGATAGAATGAGATCAAATCAGCCCAAAGGGCCTTTTTTTCATTTGAGCCTCTCTTGTAATCTTGTGACCAAAATCAGACCTATCGACACACGAGCACACACACAAACACACACACACACAAAGCCACGCAGTCGGGAAGGAGTTGGGATGGGCTGCAAAACCAGAAAGTAAAGTGATTAGGGAAAGCAATATATTGCCTGCCTTCTTCAATGACTTCAGTCCCGGCATAAATATTCGAGCAGCACTGCTTAAACCGTGTTCCTACTACTCCTGACATCGCCGACTTTGCAGCGCCGAATTCGATGTAAAGCACAGCAGTGCTAAGCACAACAGCTGCAACTTTAATCCCTGCTCTCGATTCAACTCGACAGAGTTTCCTTCTTCCTTGACACCGGCAAAGCGCAGTGGCATTCCCGTTTGCTTTTCCGGCTTGTCACGCTCACTTGCCCAGCCTGCAAGGGGGAGCCACTCGTTCCACTGTCACTCAGCCTGCAATTCGACAAAGCGGGTTAAACCTGCGGAGATTTCTCTCGGTGGCCGGTAAAAAAGGTCGGATCAAGCGGGTGATAAAGTGGAACAAACTGCAGCAGATATAACTCGGATATTTATAGGGATATCTGTGGAGCATGTATTCCTTGCGCTTCTATCTATTCTTAACAAATTATAAAAATATAGTTCCCCAGTGGGTTGCTGAATGAGGGCAGGGTTCCCAATTATATCCAGACTTGTGTGCTTGCTTTATTCATCAATCCTGCCACAAGGCAGGTAGGATTGTTGGACTCTATCTTAATTCCGGGATTTACGGGGTCAGAAGAAGTCGAGACATTTCTGCACGAATAAAAGCTACCGGAAGCTTTCACTGATAATCGGTCCAGCTTCATTGGCCAAAGATTCTGAGCCAAAGTTTTTGTGGCGACTTATAGTTTAGTGGTCACAAGCGAGAGGAGCTGGGTTCGATTCCTGGATAAAACACCTCTGTTTAATTACCTAGCAATGAGTAGAAAGCCGGTTGTTAGTCAGTTGGCGGATCGCTATTTTGGGGGTAATAATCCCTTCAAAAAAGTAACAATAATAATAAACATTTGGTCACTCAAGCCAAGACCGGCTGTGCGCAACTGGCTGCCGCGTTTCGCCCACAAAATATACAACACAAACAACAAAATGCATTTACGTGGCACCTTTCATGTCGGGAGGACTTCCCAAGGCGCTGGACAAACAAGGGTTTGCACCTGGCCCAGGGGTTGGATTCGAAAGAGGTGGGGGGCGGGGGGCGGTGGGGGGGAAAGTAACCAACTTTTAACTCAGCACCTCACTCAGATATCCCCCTCCAATATCCCCTGCCCCAAATTTACTAAAGACTTAAACGTGAACGATAGTCGCTTGGGGTGAGGTGCTGGAGGGTGAAAAAAGAAAATCTAATCTCAGGGAAAGGGTTGAAGGGAGAAAACAGGTGCAGAAGATTTTCTGAAGGATCTGAAACAGATTTGGACCTCGTGCATCAACGGTATATTCATCAGTGATGTACTTTGCTTTTGATGAGTCCAAGAAATATTCCTGCCTCATCTAAATTGTTTTCGGCTGCTTTCTCCTTGGCTGCAGTGGTAATATATGTGAGTCCAGACTGACTGCATTGGGAAGATTAAATATACAGCTACTACGCTTTACATTAAATTCTTCACATTACATTCTTTGGGGCACTTTGAATGGATAAGGCGCTATATCAAATGCAAGAATTGTTATTCATCACATTCAGCGGATTTACTCCAGGAGTGGATGCCGTTACAAAGCACTGAGGGAAAGTGTAAT